TTGTGTTCAACAGAGGAAAGAAACTCATACAGGTCTTTAACGACATGAGGAAGAGTAAGAGGCCGTTTACACAACGTTTTCAGCCAAAAACGGGAAAAGTTTTATGCGTTTTGCCTGTTCGTTTACACGACAAACGGCGTTTTGGGGACTGAAAACGCATATTTTTGAAAACGGGTTTCAAAGTGCAAGTTTTTGAAAACGGCACCATTATCATTTCCGTGTAAACACCCAATATGGGAATCTTTGAAAACAGTGACCTCATGTGCGTGCGTAGCACGTGTTAGGTATGTAGACATGCGCAGTACATGTCGATTTTAAAGGCAAGCGTGAACAAACATATACAACAATGGCGGAGTACATGGTAGCCTACTGTTGTTGCTGCTCAAGAGTTTGCTAACTCTTCTTCAGCAAAGTGTGAATTTACTTCACCAATATTACAACCAACAGCGGAGACGCATCATATACATCATATAATCGTCACTTCCCTACAGGTACTCTTTACTAACAAGGTGACAGCACCACCTACTGGCCTGGCATACGTAATACAGCGTTTTTGGCCATTTTCGTGGATATGTGTAAACGCGAATCATTTTGAAAACATTGTGTATACGTAAAACGTTTTTAAAACGCAAGGGAAAAACTTTTCCGTTTTTGACTACATCGCTGTCGTGTAAACGTAGCCTAAATGATGACAAAAATGTCTTCTTTGGGTGAACTATCAAATTAAGGGGTTAGCAGTTCTTTTGATTCTTGTGCATATGACACTTGAAATAAAATACAAATATTGATTGAAAACGGAAACACTAAACTGAAATAAAAATAAATGAAAGCTAAACAGAAATATTTAAAACAAACTAATAAAAATGACAAAAGCACAAACTAAAATTAAAATGCAAAATAAATGCATAAAATAAAATATACTAGTAACTAACTATAAATAAAATAACAAAACTGACCAAAGCACAAACTTAAACTAAATGGAAAACAAAAAATATTAAAATTAGAAAGTTCAATCAAAATATTAATAAATACTATGTGTATATAGTAGTATATATTGGTCTGATTGGAATTCTATACATAATAGTTTAAATTCTTTATGATTTGTTAGAGGTAAATCTCTTCACTCAAGTATGAATGTGTCATATATATATATATATTTGTGCAGAGCAGATCTGCAAAACAATGTAGCAATAAAACCTTGACAATTCAAGGTGTCGGCAGCAAGTCGGAATAGTATTAAAATAAAAGTAAATAGAGCTAAATGAATCTGTGTTGTGGCTTTGAAAGACTTATTTAATAAACAAAGTCACAAATAAATCCATCATCCACACCAAGTGTTTATTGAGGCACAGTAAGTTGTTAGATTGCACTGCCAGTGAAGGATATTTGGACTGTTTTTGATACCTTGCTAACTGAAAACACTCCATCATGTTTGCCTTCACACTTATATGTAAATTCTATTAGAATGCTACAGATTTGAATTAGAATGTCACATGTAATTCTAATCATTTAAATAAGCTCATCACGTCAGTATAAATGTAACAGAAGAACTGTTTCCTTCCACTTATTTGATAATTATGTAAAGATAGAAATCGGTTTACTGTCTTGATAAGTTGAAAGAAAGAAAAAAATCACACAGCACATGAAACTTTTCAGTGCATTTGTTTGAACTCTTGATTCCTCATATTAATGATCCAGTGATATCTGAAGGCTGGACGGACACCAGATGCAACAGAAATCTGCAAAGTGCATGAAATGGTGCTGCACTCACTTATCTTGGGAAAAGATGGCTCCTGTCAGGGCATAGGGAGAAGTGTTGTCTATTAAGTGCAGGACCTTCTTGTAGTCGTTTTCAGGGTAAACGTAAACTGTCAGGATAGGCCCGAAGATCTCCTGAAATAGCAAAGAATATATATATATATATATATATATGAGATATGTAACAATCACTGATTCTGACTTAAACTTATAGTTCTATGGAAATTTATGGAAAAAGGAAACTATGACATTTATCACACAATTCAGACTTTTTTCGGAAGTGTGAGACATGATATCACAACTCTGAAAAAGTCAGATTTGTGAGGGAAAAAAAATGTCAAATTTAACATTTTTATTCCATGGCAGAAACAACAACAACAACAAAAAACAGAACGTAAGATATAAGCAAGATGAGATGTAAACTCAGAATTCAGAGGAAAAAAGAATTGCGAAATGTAAACTTAGAATTCACAGATAAAAAGTCAGAATTGCGAGATGTAAACTCAGAATTCAGAGGAAGAAAGTCAGAATTGCGAAATGCAGACTGAGAATCATGATGAAAAAAGTCATTGCGAGATGTAAATTCTTATGTAGCCTAAACGTAGAATTATGAGAAAAAAAATCTGAATTGCTAAATGTAAAATTACAATTCTCATATAAAAAATCTGAATTGCGAGATGTAAACTCAGAATTTAAAAAAAGTCAGAATTGCGAGATGTAAACTCAGAATTTAAAAAAAGTCAGAATTGCGAAATATAGACTGAGAATCATGATGAAAAAAGTAATTGCGAGAATTGCAAGATGTAAACTCGTATGTAGCCTAAACTTAGAATTATGAGAAAAAAATTCAAAATTGCGAAATGTAAACTGAGAATTCCAAGAGAAAAAGTCGGAATTGCGAGAAGTAAACTCCAGTCAAAACTGAGATAAAAGGTTGCAATTAACTTTTTTATATTTTTATTCTGTTCCAAAAATAAGCTTCCATATATTTTGCTTATTTTTTGGTTTAAAAAATTAAATGGAACAATTTTTCATTAAGTTAATTCTATAAGCCTTCATTTCTGTTAAACAATGCAAGTAAGTGCACTTCTGTTCATATTCCATATTTATTTTACTTTTTTATAAATCAAACAAATTAACATTCAACCTTTTGTGTAAAAGCTTTCATTTAACCTGTAATATTTCTCTAATCAAAAATAATTATTAATTTATAATATCAAGTATTCATTTAGGGCAAACGGTTGATATAATCAGATCCTGGTATGTTCTCATTATCTAGATCACTCATTCGGGTGACTGTGGGTGGTAACCGGGTCAGCTGAGACCATCCGTGTGTGAAGATAAATGAGGTTAAACGGAAGAGATTGGTTTAACTAAACAAACCAAAGTACATCCATTCACCGCCCTGAGCCTCTGTGAGTGTGTGTGTGTGTAACTAATCCTGAATGGGGAAAAACCAAATAAAGATGTCAGCCATTGTGCAATTTGGCATGCAACAATTTTTATACCTCATTCATGATTTTCTCTTGTGGGTCGGTGGTTTCAATAATGGTGGGTTCTATGAAATATCCTTTTTTATTATCACAGTTTCCTCCAGCGATGATCTTCAGATGTGGAGAGGTTTTGGCGTGTTCCAGCCATCCCTTGCTTCTGGAGAAGGACTTGAGAAAGACATTAAGAGTGTTTATTACCTGAGCAAGAAGTAAATAAAAAATGTGATACATTTAATTTCTTTATTATTGGATTAATAGGTTGTTGGTTTGTACCTTGTCATCAATAACTGCTGAGAAGAAAGTGCTGAAATCTTCAACTGGCTTTGAAGTGAAACAGAAAAAAGTCAAAATGGCAGTAAGTTCAGTTTGTAAGAAAAATACTGTTACTGTCCACCACTGCCACACTTTGCAGTTGCAAAACTCTTCCACTTACGTCTCCCACTTTGATCTGTTTGTGCACATCCAGGAGTTCCTGTTTGATCTGAGGCCACAGTGAGTCTGGTACGTACATCCTGGAACAGGCCGAACACTTCTGTCCTCCGTACTCAAACGCCGAGCGGATGGTGCCGTTCACCACACTATGAACGTCTGCGGACTTGTGCACAAAGTGGAAGTTCTT